GGATCTCCTGGATTCCAGACATATTCTTCTTTACCTCCATTATGTAACACCAGTCCAATTTCTCCTTGGTAATCAGGATCAATCACACCACTTAGTACAGTGACACCCTTCCTGACCTGTTGATCCTGTATACAGGGCGATATCGACAGGCATTCGTGGGGCTGGCTGCCATGGGAACTTGGGATGCCCTGGTAGCTTACTCTGCTTGTTTGAAACCACCAGTGAGTGACCCTGCAGGAAGAAGGCGAGGCTTTCTACTCCCATCAAGAGTGAACTGTCTCCAAACCCGAAGGGGGTGGTTCTCTCCTGGCCTACTGGGTCTCTAGGAGTAGACAGTACTCGATGGCAGTGAGATTTCTTACTGGCACTTAGTGGGCAGGAATGCACAACAAAGAACTGTCTGCCCCAAAATGCTGGTGCTGTGGAAGCTCCAGAGTTCCGTGCAGCTAGGGAACTGCTTCTGAACTCTCCCCACAGCCCCTGGAAGTCATTACTCTGCTCACCGGGGACTTAGAAACAGGCAGAGTGCAGGAGTTTCAAGCTGGGCTGCTGTCCCCGGATGCAGAGGTTAAACTTGTTATATTCACTTCCCATATTTATGACAACCCTTGAGCAAATTACTTCACATTGCTTCTTAGTTTCTCTGGGTATAAGACAAACTCATAAGATTTCTCCTTAGGAGGTTAGTAAAGATTGCTGAGCAAATGATTTTTAAAATGTGCTTCATATACTTTGGCAAAACAAACCATAAAAAAAGAGACAAGAATAACAAAACTGCTACCTCCAGTTATTCCCAATTCATCTCCTCCCTCAAAAAAAATCGCTTAAGTTGTGGACATTCAGAGACAGAAAGAAGTGTAAGTTCTTTCTTTTTAGTTTCACTGCCCACATCTAAATTTAGCTCGCTGATCAACTTCTTGTTGCTAGTAGCTCCCCTCAGGTCAACTCCAACCCCTGGCCATCCTTTCCACAGTGGTATGAAATGCCACCCCGTTCTGTGCCTCAGCCCATTGTGATCCACGGGGTTTTCATGGGCTGATATTCAAAAAGTAGATCACCAGGCCTTTCTTCCTCCTAGTTCATCTTAGACTGGAAGCTCTGCTGAAACCTGTTCAGCATCCTAGCTGCAGACACACCTCCAGTGACAAATGGATGTTGGCTCCACATGAGGTTTACTGGCCAAGAATCAAACTCTGGTCTCCCACATCATATTCTGTGGTGACTCAGAGTGGAACATATAAGTCCCCCCACCCACCCGGAGTAAAGTGTGTTCCTTCATCATCCTTTAGGCTTTGTGGTTGTCAGGTCATTGTCACCTAGTCCCAGATAGTGATGGCAGGAAGGGGAGGTAGCAAAGCAAGGTCCTTGTGCCCAACTGAGAACCCTCGTGTCCCTGGCGCTTCTTTCAGGACGGACACATTGCTCTTCATCTCGCTGTCCGACGCTGTCAGATGGAAGTCATCAAGACCCTGCTCAGCCAAGGATGCCTGGTGGATTTCCAAGACAGGCATGGCAACACCCCTCTCCATGTGGCCTGCAAAGATGGCAACGTGCCCATTGTGGTGGCCCTCTGCGAAGCACACTGCAACCTGGACATCTCAAACAAGGTAGGCATGGAGGGAGAAGGGCCATGCGGGTCCCAGTGGTGTCTGAGTGTCTGTCTGATTCTGGGTTATGCTGCATGCATGTGTGTCCCTTCTCTGTATACAGTCCTCACGTGGATGCAGGTGTTCTGTCATTAATACTTTTGAATAATTTCCTAAAGAAACGGAAAGTTATGACATTAGTTAGTAATGGTAAAATTAAGCAACTCCTGTTGGTAGCTAAGAAGTACATTGTGTGTGTGCTGTGGGTGTGGGTGCATGTGTGCACACATGCGTGTACGTGCATATACTTGTGTGTGTAATATTATAGAGAAATCAGGGAGCTTGGTACAAGTCAGAGCATCTTGTGGGACCACAGTGGCCAAAAAATGGCTGCAGCAGGATGAGCATTGGGAATCAGGAGACAGGTTCCAGGCTGCCAGCTGCAGGAGGCTTGCTGACCCACAGTGCAGGAGAGAGCTGAGCGCCTTCAGGCAAGAGGCTTTCGGACAGAGGGAAGCTAAAGAGCTGTCACCCTTGCCAGAGCAGTGCAGCAGCCAGCAGAAAGCCCGAGGAGGCATGGCCAGGAGGAGGCCACTGCAGAGAGCTCAGCCATGAAGAAGCAGAGAGCTGCATGGATTGGAAGCTGCCCAGTTTGAAGAACTGTCTCCTGTCTCTTCTTGAATTGTATCCTGCTATTTACTCATTGATCCAGGCCCCATGCTGTAGCCTTTTACTTCCCTTTTGAACCATGTAACTGTGCAGTTGGTCTGCGAGCTCTGTGAGGCCATGGCTGTGGATCCTCATGCCCGGCTGAAAGGTAGAGAGTGACGAAAAAAGAAAGAACGAGAAGTCGAGGGTGGCAGGGGTGCTGGGCCAGAAGTGGTGAGAAGTTTCGTGAGTGGAAGCGTGTCTGACCTCCACTCCAGCTTTGGGGGATCCCGGTGCTCATCCATCCTCCTGGGTATAGACCAAGTATGACACTGCAGAGCTGGCCGCCCCAGGGGTGTCAGGGTCACCTGTGCTCCGGGGGGTTTCCATGGCTGATTTCTCAGAAGTGCATTGTTAGATCACCAGGCCCTTCTTCCCAGCTGTCTCTCTAACCCAGACTCATGGCCATCCAGGCAATTCCAACTCCCAGGACTTCCCCTGTGGATTTACAAGACTGTAAATGTCTACGGGAGTAGAAAGTCTCATTTCTCCTGAGAAGCAGCTGGTGGTTTCAAACTGCCAACCTTCAAGTCAGCAGTCCAATGTGTAACCACTACGCTACCAGGGCTCAAAACGCTAACCTTTTGGTAAACTCATTAACTGTTGACACCATCACAGTGAATCATTTATCGTTCATTCTTTTAATAATAGAGGCATGAAAACAATGAATTACATGTTTCTGTGTTCATGAAAATCTCCATTTGCTGACTTCTAGAAGCTGTCTGGCTCCCTCCTTTTCTGAGTACCATCTGAATTTGATTTACCAAATAAGATAAAACAGTTGGATGTCCGTATGGGTTCAGCCCTATGACTATGAAAAGCAGACACCATTCTGTTATGGTTCTGTTGAAAACAAAGTCCAAATAGCAGTTTTTAAAATTTTCTGGCAATCTTTATTTATAAAAAATCTGAGACAGTTGGAAAATTCTACTTTTACAGAAAATATTACTCCTCTTGCATATTATGTGATTAATTCTAATGGAAATTGAAATCCCTAAGCTTCCCATTCTAGAATTGTGAAAAGGCAATACCCCGAGTCTTAGCTATTTGATGCTAGTTGCCTCCCTAGCCTATTCCATTCTAATCTGCCCCAGTCAGCTCTATAATGGCTTTCAGGAAGCCTGGGAAAGCAGCCCTACAGCCTCGCCTTGCCCTCTAGGAGTCTTTAAATACAAAAGTGTGACCTCAAGGCATAGCTTAGGGTTGAATTGAAAGCCTTAGACCCCACCTTGTGTGGATAGCTGGCCTACTGTGTGCTCAGCGTCTAGTATTAGCCATCAACTCCAAGTTCCTGGTGTTTTTCAAAAACAAGCAAATCGTGGGCTTCCCTGGCTCACCCCACACCTAACTGCAAAACGTGCACTTGTTAAATGGGTTTTTTTTTTAATTGGGGGCTCGTACAGCTAAACCCAGTAGGACTATCACAGATGTTCTTCCTTTAATACTGCTTATTTGGTAGAACATTTCTATGTTTACACTGCATGTGACCACAGTAGTTCATAAACACCTTTAAAATGTAACTTAAGGAGTCTTGCATTTTTTTAAATTGGCCCTTGTGCTGCAGTGGCTAAGCACTCGACTGCCAGTGATCTTAACTCTCAGCTGCTCTGAGGGAGAGAGATGTGGCCCTTTGCTTCTGCCAGAATTGTGGCCTTGGGGACTGTGGGACGGTTCTCTGTCCCATGGGGGCACAGTCAGGCAGAGGCAACAGACCTGGGTTTGGGTTTTTACATGCTTTTATTTTTCTAAACTAAATACGATCTATGAAACTAGAAAAGGACAGATACCTCAACTCTAAAAGTGGGAAAAGCATTTTCCAGGCACATGGGCCCCTCCAGCCCTGACTCACACCCCTCTCTGTCCGCGCAGCAGGACACTTTATTTAGTTACCCTATGGGAAATATTATGACAGTTCACCAATGAAGACATTCAGATTGCCAAGAAGCACAAGGAAAGATGCTCAAATCATTAGCCAGTGTTGTTACTCAGTGCCCTCAAATCGACACCCACTCATAGCAACTGTGGGGAACAGAAGAGACCTGCTCCATAAGGTTATCAAGGGTGCCCCTCTTCACAGAAGCTGACTGCCTCATCATTCTCCTTGGGGCAGCTGGGGGGTTCAAAGCACAGGTGTTTGGAGTTATTGGCACAACATTTAACCCCCTACTCAATCAGGAGTCTATAGTCATTGGGGAGACACAAGGCAAAACCACCAATGAGATGCCTGACTCCTAGAATGGCGTGCCCACTGAAACAGAAAGCAAAAGGTGGCGGTGGGGATGTTGAGAAATGGAAGCCCTCATCCACAGCTGGTGTGCGTGCAAAACAGTACAGCCACTGTGGAACGCAGTTTCATATTTGCTCCAAAGGTTGACTCAGCAATCTCAATCCTAGGTATATACTCATAAAGAAAGCGTCTAGGTGTGTACTCAGAAAGAAAAAATATAGCTGTATACTCAGAAAGAAAGACTATAGCTGTATACTCAGAAAGAAAGAGTCTAAGTATATAATCATAAGGAAAGAGTCTAGGTGTATACTCAGAAAGAAAAACTATAGCTGTATACTCAGAAAGAAAGAATATAGCTGTATACTCAGAAAGAAAGACTATAGCTATATACTCAGAAAGAATATAGCTGTATACTCAGAAAGAAAGAGTCTAGGTGTACACTCAGAAAGAAAGAGTCTAGGTGTATACTCAGAAAGAAAGACTCTAGGTGTGTACTCAGAAAGAAAGAGTCTAGGTGTATACTTACAAAGAGTCTAGGTGTGTACTCAGAAAGAAGAGTCTAGGTGTGTACTCAGGAAGAAAGAATCTAGGTGTATACTCAGAGAGAAAGAATCTAGGTGTATACTCAGAA